CTGTAGAAGTGTGTGTGAATCCATGGATGAGTGTTTGTATGTATAGAACTTCAGATGAAACAATAATAGAGACGAGTTATAAATTCAGATGTCTTCAATTCAAATTTTAGTAATTTTTTGGGATCAGGTTATGAGAAATTTATCTCTTATGAATACTTTAATCCCGACGTTGATGATCTGTCTTTTATCAAATCAGAAAGAGATTAATCGAAATACGACGCAATCACCTTTCACAGTTAAAAAAATAAAAGGTGTGTTTCTATGTATATGAAACATTCTTAATCAAGAAACTGAAAAGGAAGAGATATATCAAGTGATGCCTAAAATTCAATACACAGTTAATCATGGTATTTATGCCTATAGAATAGGAAAGGTGAGACTTAAATAAATAAAAGCACAAAAAATAAAAAAAAAAAATCACAATCAAAATACAAAAATCCTGATAATCTTCATTCAATCAACCACATCGATTTTGGTAGTGCAAGATAGCAACCTCCGAAAGATCGACGCCAAGGCTGCACAAGAAACCTGCTTAGCCCTCCTACTCACCACACATTTCTTTCCGCCACCGCCACCGCCGCCACTGTCATGAGGTTTCCTTCTTCTCCTACTCGCCACCACTGTCTTTTTAACTCTTTCCAAACATTTCTTGGTCTTCTCAGGCACACTCTCTTTCCTAGAGAACGTATAGCTTCTCAAATACAACTGTCTGCATGAGATGCTATCCACCACCGTCGGGTGACCACGACCACCACCACCCCCCTGCAGACGGCTGTTAGAGCTCACTGACCTCACAAAGGCAGCGTCGGATTCAGGCCACTTGTAAATGTTTACGTAGGTTGCTCTCACCGGAGCCCGGGCGTCGTTGACAGAATTTGATATGCAGACGGAGGCCATCTTTACAGCGAGGTCAGGTCTGCGTTAGTGAGATATATGTATTGAGTGTATCGATCAAAGAGAGCTTAGAATGCAAGAAAAGTGAGAGAGGAGAGAGAGATGGGGCCTGGGGCGTTATGGTGTGGTTTTAAGCATTTGGAGTGCATATGGATGGTGGTGTATGCAATAATTTGGCATCATGTGAGTGTGGGGTGTGTGAGACATGCCAGTAGGGCACGTGAGTTGCACGAGCGAATTGTGTCGTAGTTTGGGGAATATGGCAAGTTGGCAACACATTTTGGCCCATAGGGGTTAGAGCGCCCAGATGGAATTTGGGAGGATTAAAATAAAAGAAAAATTATATTCAGATTTATTAAAATTTATTATTTAATTATTTAGACTCATGATATCTAAAATATTACACACAGATCTCTTGAAATTTGTACACACGTAACACTTAGACCCTTGTCATCAATGTCGGTTAGTATATTCATTAATAAATTACATCTAAATTTCCTAAAGTTTGTAGGCATGCAATATTTAAACCTCTCAAGTTTAAAATGTTATATTTAGACTAAGAATACTTCAATCAAAGATAGAAAATCAAATATTTTAAATTTTACAACCAAAATTTATGTTCTATTATAATATTTATTGAAATAAAATTAAAATTTTTTTTAAAAAATTATAATTAGTATACAATTATACTATTTATTGGAATTTAATTTGGTCGTTTAAATGACTAAATTAAATTACTAAATTACCCCAATTAAATGTAGAATATATTGTATTCATTACAATACATAGTATAATTGTATACTAATTATGATTTTTTAAGAAAAATTAGATTTTTAATTTTAATTTTATTGACATAATAGAAAATGAATTTGGTTGTAAAATTTATGTTCTAGTATAAACGACTTATACTCCTTGTTTGATTTTTAGTTTTATTTCAATAGATAGTATAATCATATACTAATTACGATTTTTTAAGAAAAAAATGACTTTTTATTTTTTATTTTATTTCAATAAATAATATATTAGAACATGAATTTTTGTTATAAAATTTAAAATATTTGATGTTCTATATTTAATTGAAGTATTTATAGTCTAAGTATAACATTTTAAACTTGAAGGGTTTAAGTGTTACTAACTAATATATTAACGGACATTTGATGCAAGGGTTTAAGTGTTGTGCACGTATAAACCTCAGGGAGTCTGTATGTAATATTTCAAATGTAAGAGGGTATGAGTGATTAAGTGGCAAATCTTAGGGGATTTGAGTGTAATTCTTCCTAAAAAAAATAATGTATCTATAGTGATGAGACGTTTTTGATAACCAAGTGGGAAAGTGACACATGTCATCTGGGCCACGACAGATTGCACTCCATCTTGGAGTATTCGGCTTACCTCGCCGTCGAGGGATCCAAAACTATCTCAGCTTCAAGGGGGATCACCCTCGGCATAAATCCCTCCTCAATATCACTGTCCCTTTCTCGGCATATCAGCTGAATCGACTAAGGCAAACATACCCATGATCGAGATAAAGCAACTACTGAGCATTATGGCTCAATAATTGGTCCCCTTTTCTAAGACAATTAGAATGATTAGAAAAGTAATTCAATGACTAATGATAGAGATGTACGGTGTATGAAACAATTAATTATTGACCCTTTGAATTGGGGATTGACAAAAATGTCCCTGCGCGTGCATGGCCATGCCCAGAGATGCATTAAATGATTCTATAGAAGTATGAGATGTATTCATTGCTCGGCAGAATCGAGAAGTGTGCATTAAGTACTCGGCGACCCCAATGCAGATTTGCGGAAGCCCTTGGTGCAAAGAGAAACAAACGCTCTAATCGAGATCTGCACACTAAATATTGTCCCCTATATGAACCAACCAGGTGTTTTTCCTTCCAAAGGACCCAGTTGTCCGCTTCAATCAATTCTTGGAAGATATAAATAATACCCCAAGCAATAGAACAATGTTCTCAAAACATTCCTCAATTAATGACTTGAGCGTTAGAGGGGTCACGTCGGAGTATATTTCGGCGCCCTTTTAACTTTTCTTTTTTGGGTGACAGAACACCGTTGAGAGCTTATTTGTGAATTAATCGTTTGTAGAAGGTTCTGTCACTATTTGCAACCCTTTTTCCTTAAAGCCTTGTCCGCAGCTCCATCATCGTCCACAGTGGGGCACTCAAGGGCGTTCATCGAAGTGACATTCTAGGCGGACACGAGCTTACCAATGAAGAGACCTATTATCTCATTTATTGTGCGAAAAATCATCCTGCACATATAATAATCAATTGACTAAGTTTTACCAATTTCTCATCAGGAGCCCTGCACTTGTTTTCCTTTTTTTGGCCTAAATAATGAATTCCATTATGAATGGATAGTGTCGTGTTAAAATATGTTCAATCATGTCTAATTTATCTATAATTGTTTATAATTTTGTTTTATGTCATGTGTAAGTTTTATCTAGCGAGTTCATATCATATTTAAGCGGGTTTGTGTCAATCTATATATATGATGAGTCTGACGAATTTGTTTTTTTATGTTTGATTAGAATTGTCTGGTCTAATTTTAATTATTGCCTTAGTAGAGGTGATCCAGTGGTTTTAGGCCCATTTTATTTTGCGGTGGACAATATTTTGAGTAAATATTGGGTGTAACGTATAGTAGAACACCAAGTAGAATAAGTGAAACCCCCCACTATCCTAATTTGGTAATTGTTGGATAGGGTGACTATTGATATTTATTAAAATAATGAGATCCACTAAATCCACATAGTATTTTGTAACTAGTTGGTGCACTACCATAGAAGACTTTTGTTTCGGAGTTTTTTGTTTTGACTTGACATAATATTTGTCAGATATTTGCATCGACATTAAACACATGCAAAAAAGTTCAATTTGTTTTATTATTTTGCATCGGTATTTTCCTTGAATTAAAAAAAAAAAATCAAAAATGACGTCACTTTGTTTTGTGTGTTTTAATCTCAACGCGACATTGTTTTTGTGTCCCAACACAAAACCCTACTTCCTTAAACTCCCAGCCCCTCTTCATTCCAAGTCGTTACTATTATTTCTCTCTCTCTTTCTCTACCACCACTGGTGGCCACCCTCAACACCTTACCAACAACTTTCCTCTATCATCCATCCTCACACAACACAACCTTATTTGCGAAACACTAATATTATTGGGACATAATTGAAGGACATAATGAGTTGTCTTCAATGAAATGATAGTAAAACATATTTAATGATAGGTTCCATTGTAGCAATAATGAATTCATTACCATCTCATTGGTGACAACTCATTATGTCCTCAAATTATGTTTATAAATTATGTCTCAATAGCATTGCTCTTTGCGAAAATCTTACCCCTTTGCCTTCCTCAGCAGCTTATCCCCCCCCTCTCTCTCACACCTCCAATTGACAACAAAACCTAATCTACAAAAGCCCCACCCCCTCACCTCGCCATCTGCTTCCCATACAAATTGTCTAGCCTAATGTATAAGGACCGAATGAACAATTTGAGCTCGAGCCTCCTTTTTACTTACTTGATTTTATCTCATAATATTCAATTAATATTATTGAGAATTAAAAAGTTGGCATAATTTTTTGATCTAATGATATGAAGTAATATGATCAATTAATATTATTGTAATATAATTTTAAATTTTTTATTGAAGCTCTATCATTTGACACTTCAGTATGTCAACAAAATTTCTCTAATTTGTACGATGTCCAAAATTTGTAACAATCAATGTTTGTAGAGTCTGATGAGAATTTATAGTAATCACTATATTATAAAAAAAATAGCAAATTAATAAGTGGATTCTATCGAATTCAATTGTCACTCTTTTATATAATGATACTGGTCGAGCCCCGACTATGGTTAAAATATTAATATTTAAATGAGTTATTATCATTAAAAGATTAAAAAGATTAAAATTTAAATAAATTATCAAGGTTCAAAAATTAAATTACTTAATCATAATATAAACCATTAGATCTAAACAATTTAAACTGTTATTATTATTTTTTAAGTGTGAAGTTTTTTTATAGATGGTGTCAGCGTTCGACTCCGCGCGGTGACGCAGTCACTTTCCGGTTTGCACATTCTTAGAAGAGAACCGAAAAGTGAAAACGCTCTCTCAGTCCAATTTTCGATTCCAATACCAAAAAGGAGGAAGATGAGATTCCTCCAAAGCTTCGCAAAGGTCTGTTCTCAGAATCTGAAGCGAGCTAATTCGTTGGTATATTCTTCCTCCTCCGCCGCCACCGCCACCGCCACCACTTCAAGTGCCTTCTTCTCGCAGATTCACTCTCACTCCGAACCGTAAGTCCTCCTCAATTTTGTTCGCACAAATTCGATGCCATTGCGTTTATGTATAACGATTCTTGGATCGAAATAGGCCGTCCTTTGGCATTGCGTTCGACATCGACGGTGTACTTCTTCGGGGCGACACTCCCATCGGTGGTTCTTCTCATGCTCTTCAGAAATTATACGATCATTGCGGTACGCAAATATCGATATTTATAGCGCCTACTGAATATTGAATTGCTTGAAGTTTTTTGCGCTTAATAGTGAATTTCATTTGCTTAGACATTGTGATTGAATTGAACGACTGATTTACTGGAGAGAGAATCAACGAATATGAATCATTGGATTTACTCAGTGGTATCTTTCTGTGGCGTATACACTGCATTTGACAGTATGAAATCGAGGCTTCGGAATTGGGAATCTCGTAGATATTTGTAAGGGATTAAATCGCACGTTCGGATCTTCTCCCCCACGGAAGGATTTTGACTTACCTGGACCCCTCTTTGGGCAATCCAGTAACTTTTACCTCTCAGTGCCCATAAGGACCTCGTCCCACATCGATTGAGAGTCGGTTTTCCCGCCGTATATAAGCCTATGCTTCATATGGAGGAGGTACCCATTAGCCACTTGATCTGGTACCTCCTCCATATGAAGCATAAGCTTATATGCAAGGGGAGACGACTCTCAATCGACGTGGGACGAGGTCCTCATGGGCACTGAGAGGTAAAAGTTATTGGATTGCCCTAGGAAGGGATCCAGGTCGGTCAGAATCCTTCGGTGGGAGAGGATATTCCGGTGCGGATTTAATCCCTTACAAAATGGCGCCTTTTGGTGGACAGGATTGCCTCCCTCCGAAAGGATTTTGGCTGGCCTGGACCGGCAATCCAGTAGCCTTTACCTCTTAGTGCCCATGAGGACCTCGTCCCACATCGACTGAGAGTCGTCTTTCCCCCCTGGCATATAAGCCTACGCTTCATATGGAGGAGGTACCCATTAGTTACTTGATAGTACCTCCTCCATATGAAGCGTAGGCTTATATCCGGGGGGGAAGACAACTCTCAGTCGATGTGGGACGAGGTCCTCATGGGCACTAAGAGGTAAAGGCTATTGGATTGCCCTAGGAAGGGGTCTAGGCCAGCCAGAACCCTTTCGGAGGGAGGCAATCCTGTCCACCAAATGGTGCCTTTTTGTAAGGGATTAAATCCGCACCGGGATATCGTCCCCCTATCGAAGGATTCTGACTGACCTGGACCCCCTTCCTAGGGCAATCCAGTAGCCTTTACCTCTCAGTGTCCATGAGGACCTCGTTCCACATCGACTGATCAAGTGCTAGTGTGTACCTCCTCCATATGAAGCGTAGGCTTATATGGGGGGGGGGGACGACTCTCAGTCGATGTGGGACGAGATCCTTATGGGCACTGAGAGGTAAAGGCTACTGGATTGTCCTAGGAAGGGGTCCAGGTCAATCAAAATCCTTCAGTGGGAGGAGGATATCCCGGTGCGGATTTAATCCCTTACAATATTGTTTCAGAATTTCCAATTCCAATTCCAGGACCTCAATTCCGTGCTTCTAATTACTCCATTTAACATTAATACTGGTGTTACGACTAACTCATTGGCACCTTGTATCGGGTTTGGATGTCTTAATTTGCATTTAGTGGACAGTCTGCTTGTCCTCTACATTTATTTTCTCTCTCTTTTAACACTTCTCTGATCTCCCTGTGGGCAGGTACATTGAAAATTCCATTCGTTTTCTTGACCAACGGTGAGTTGTTTTTGTAATCCCTTTGGGTCATGGAAGTACATTGATAGCTTAGAATGGCATTGCATTCTTAATTTCCAAGCAAGATGGGGTATGTCAAACCCCTGGGGGTATAGCATACTGTTTTGTTGCTTTGAACAATCTTTATATACTTCAAAGTGCTTTCTTATAATTTAAAACAAACTGAATTTGTGAATACGGGCATATAAATTTTCCATTTCGATAAGCTTTTACATGTGTACTGGATATTTTGCAGAACTATGATTAATTATAATGTGTGAGTTAGGAAAACTGAATTGGTAACTTATGTAGTACAACAGAGTCGCAGACTAACACCAATAATTATTTCAACAGGAGGTGGAGTCCCCGAATCTAAAAGAGCCTTGGAATTGGGCAAACAATTAGCTGTCAATATATTACCTTCACAGGTACTTTATTTAGTTTACTCTTTCATGCTTTAATTCCTGCTTTTATTTTACTTTTTAGTGTGGATTATTAACTATGTTAAATTCTTATATAGCATAACTCAGTAGATTATTTTAGGATCATAATTTTTTTGCCTCAGAATCATGGAATAATTCATTGAACTCCTACGCCTTTTCCTTTTCCTCACTTTAAATTGCATGCCATCTTTGGATTTACTTTACTTTCCTTGACTGGAATTGGGGTGCAGGTTATACAGGGGCATTCCCCTTTTAAGCAGCTGGTAACAAGGTATGCATTTTAACCCTTTTTTTAGCTGTGTTACATGACTGGAAACCAATTAATTCATGCAAGTGGAATAAGAGATAGTTGCTTTAAAAACCACCATATAGTATGTCTACACACAGGCCAATATATCGCCAATATAACCATTGTTTTGAATTGTACACAGATATCTGGCCTGGTATTTTGAGATGATCTTAGATGTTTAGTGGCACATCAATTGTCAATCCCATAAAATTATTAACAATAGCTATGTATGCTACTTCTGCCAATCTGTACAAATCTTGCTTGCAATAATTTGGATCTTAATATATTATTTCTATTTAATTGCCTCATGTAACCTTCTTTTGAAGTTTTATCGACAATTCTAATCATGTGATATCTTTATTTCTGATTTCATTTTGTTGATATTACGTGATTAGAATTGTAATCATGTAATAGTATCATGTATCATTTGGTTCTCTTCCACATGACAGCTGTTATGAAGAAGAGGAAGTTGTCATATAGAAGAGAACCAAATAATACATTAATAAATGTATTTATGTCAGTCACTTGATGGAGTTGAGATCTTTGTTAGCTTATGTCATTATCAATTTTAATCTTTGGGTTACAGATTCGAGAATGAGCTTGTTGTGGCTGTGGGGAAAGGAGAACCTGCAGCAGTGATGCTCGAATATGGCTTTAAGTATGCTTTTGGTCTCATGATCTATCTGATCTGCAATTGTCTAATTTTTTTACTAGTCATTGAATGACTTCTTCAATATGATCCACTTTCAGCCTACTGAATTGCTTATGTACGTAATCATATGATTTTCAGAAATGTGCTCTCGATAGATGAATATTCATCTTGTTTCGAAAACATTGATCCCTTGGCGCAATATAAGAAGTGGACAACCAACCAGATCATGTATCCGAATGACACTTTCAACGAAATGGCCCCTAGAAACAATATTTGCTCACAGAGAGTGCAGGCAGTTTTCATCGTTAGTGATTCTGTTGACTGGAGCAGAGATATTCAGGTATTTCTTTATCAGTATTCTATCTAGTCAACTTAAGCTTTCATGTTTCCTGTTTTCTTGTTGCATGTAATTTACAAAAATTGCAGTGAAACATCAAACAACTATTACTAATGCACTGGTAAACATTAAGTTGTGCTTGTTGGAGAAGAATACAAGAAAAACATATGGTTTGATCTTTGCCGAATCAGTATGTCCGTGCTGCAAAAATAATAAATTGCTACCCTATTTCTCTTGGCTTGTATTATATATGTATGTAATCCTTTAGTTATTTATTTGACCTATAATGCTAGGGAAGATATAGGCTTGGTTTAATGTGGTTTGGAGCAGTACAAAGACATGGTAGTATGTGCTTCAATTGATAAATGACCTGGATAGAGCATGATGATGAAAGGGTATACATATGACTGATACAATAGTTTGAAAGGGCTTCGTTGAGCTAAGTATATATCTCTTCCCACTACCATATCTCCCCCCCACCCTCCTTCTGTCTCTCTCTTCAAATACTATTTTTTCTGTGGATGTAAGTCTTCAAATACTGGCATAATTTTCTGTTTCGAATGTGTTTTCTTTGTTAATTTTAACCTCAAAAGTTTTTGGCATTTTTCTCATAGAAACCTCAAGCCACACAAAATCCAAACTAGGCACTAACAAACTTCTAACAAGATACCAGAGCATTCCACCTAACTAACTTCTAGATTTCTAAAACGTTCTATTATATATTTCCTAATTATTTATATTATTCAAGCTCTAATACCATCAACTAATTGATGTTGGTTGTAGGTTCTTTGCGACATTCTAAGAAGCGGAGGTCTGCCTGGAGGGGAAATTGCACACCAGCCACCTCTGTATTTTGCAAATGATGACCTTGCATATCAGGTTAGGTTTGACACTAACGATAAAGGCTACGTTGACATTTATTTTTCTATTTTTTTGTAGAATAGCTTCTTATAAAACTTGATAATGTACTGATGAAGTGCCAACGAAAGGTAGGCTAAGTTTCCATCTGAACGTCTTGGCATGGGCGCCTTCAGAATTGCATTAGAATCAATATTCAACAGGTAAGTCACACAAAACATGCTTGCTTATACTAACTTATGATGTCTGGTCAATGAATGTTTTGAGTGTAACCCAAATATTTCAAATATCTTGGTGGGACTTCTTGCTTGCCTCCCTGAACCTTCATGTAAATCATGTTTGTTAAGAATAATAGGGTAGTATGTGTAAATTGTTAATAGTAAGAGGGCATATGTGTAATTATTATTACTGTAGGCTAACTATAAATACAAGTGATGTATGAGAGTTAGGTTAAGTTTTAACCTCTCTCTTTCTCTCTAACATTGTGCTATGTTAATTTACTCAACTTAACATGGTATCAGAGCCAAAACAATTTTAAATCTAAATAGTAAATCAAGGGTTCTTTGTTGTCGTTGTTATGCCTACTGTTGTCATCGTCGATGGTTGAGTGAAACGAGGAGATTGACGTTGGTGGTGTCTGGTTCAAGCACTGTGGAGTGGTTGTCTGGTAGTGGGTGGTGGCAGTCGCAGTCGACTGGTGGCTATGCTGGTAGTCGAATAGGTTTGGGTGTGTCGTTTGTGTCGTGTGGTTGCGTGGTGCTGCTGCTGGATACCAGACGTAGTTAATAATGAGGAGCATTAGGGTTTGCTTGGGAAGAAGACAACCTCTTGGGTCGGGTTTAGGTGGCTGAGTCCAGATCCAAGCCCAGATCTAGTTTTAAAAAAAAAAAAATTCAGAACAGCTTGGTCCAGAACTGGTTCAACCCGGTTCAGTATAGGTTCAACCCGGTTTAGTCCCGGTTTAACCCGGTTCAGTAAGATTTACATCGGTTCAGTCCTGGTTCAGCAGTCCAGTGGCCATTCCTTGGCCGGTTCAGCATTCCAGTGGCCATTCCTTGGCCGGTTCAGCGGTCCAGTGGCCATTTCTTGGCCGGTTCAGCAGTCCAGTGGCCATTCCTTGGCCGGTTCAGCAGTCCAGGAGCTAAATTCAGTCCAGTTCAATCTTCCAAAGAGCTTAGCTTGACCGGTTCAGTGGTTCAGCCCCTCTTTTTAGTCCGGTTCAGTCTTCCAACTTTTTTTTTTCTCTGGTTTAGCATTGTCACACTTCTTGTTTGCTATTTGTTGCACTATTATGGAACCTAAACAAGATACTAGGTCTCTTACTCCATCTTTGCCTCCTCTGATTCTTATCAATGGTCCCATGACTTCTGTCAAACTTAATAGGACTAATTACACTTTATGGTCCTGATCTGTTCAAGTCTTTCTTCGAGGCAAAGGATTTAAGAAATATCTGGTGGGTTCTAAACCCAAGGAAGGTGATCAGTGGGAACAGGAAAATGCTCAGATTATGTCTTTATTGTTGAATAGCATAGCGCCCAATATTAGCTCTTCTTTGCTCTATCTTGATACTACCAAAGAGATATGGGATTACTTGACCATTATGTATTCTGGTACATGTAACCCGTGCGTATGAGGTGTGCAAGGAGTACTTCCAGTTGGAGCAGGGTACTCTGAGCCTTACGGATTATTACTCTCATGTTCGGGGAGTCTGTGAGGAGATGAAGACTTACCATCCGTTTACTACTGATGTAGCAGTTTGGCGAAAGCAACATGAGGACCTGAATGTTGTTAGATTTTTGGTAGGATTGAAACCTGAATATGAGGCTATTCGTTCTCAGATTTTGGGTGGATCTAGTCTTCCATTACTGCTGGAGGTTTTCTCTCATTTACAGCGTGCTACACTGTTTACTCCTTCAGTCATTGATCATGGTGTCTCCACTGATCGCTCAACTCTTGTGGTTCCTAATAGCCATAGTGATGATCATCGAGGTGGCCGTGGTAGTTGTGGTGGTCGCGAAGGTCGTATAGGTGGTCGTGGAGGTCGTAGTGGATCCCGTTCCTGTACTCACTGTGGCCGTGGAGGACACACTGTTGATTTTTGTTGGGATTTATATAGAAAACGTTCTGGTACTGCTAATTAGGCTTCTTATCAGGATGACACCTCTGTTGTTGCTTCCATTCCTCAGTCAGCTCCACCAGACACTGGGTCGGTTACTATTACAACTGGTCGAGAGGAGTATGCTCAGTTCCTATCCTAGCAACAGGCTGTTTCATCTCCCTCCACTGCTACTTTTGCCCAGCCAGATACTGCTTCCACCTGTTTATTGTCCTTCACTCACAGTCCTTGGATCATAGACTGGTGCCTTTGACCACATGATTGGTGTGTCTGACGTTTTCTCTACTTATCAGTCTGTTACTTCCACACGTAGTGTTACTCTTACTAATGGTACTTGTTCTAAAGTTTCAGGTCTGGGGACTACTCACTTGAGTCCTGATATGTCCCTATCTTCTGTGTTATTTGTTCCTTAGTTTCTTTTTAGTTTACTTTCTATTAGCAAGATTACCCGTTCTCTCAATTGTTCTGTAACTTTTTATCCCTCTTATTGTTTCTTTCAGGATCTCAAGACGAAGAGGAAGATTGATACGGGGCATGAAACTGGTGGCCTATATTACCTTGACTTTGATTCACTTACCCGAGCTCTACAGACCTCGTTGTCTCCTTTTCAATGACATTGTCATCTTGGACATCCCTTTCTCCAGAATCTGAAGCGCCAAGTTCCCAGTCTTAGTTTTGTGTTGTCTTTGTCTTGTGAAGCTTGTCAACTTAGTAAGTATCACCGTGTGTCATCTCAGTCTAGAGTCAATAATTATGTGCCTAGTCCATTTGAATTAGTCCATTCTGATGTATGGGGTCTAATAAAGAATATTTTATCTAATAAATATCCTTATTTTGTGACATTTGTGGATGACTATTCTCGTGTGACTTGGTTATTTTTGATGAAAGCTCGGTCTGAATTATTCTCTATATTTGAGACTTTTCATAAATAAATAAAAACTCAGTTTGGTTATTGTCTACGTACTTTAAATTCTGATAATGCTCGAGAATATGAATCTGATCCTTTTTTAGCTTATCTTGGTAAAACTGACATTATTCATCAAACTTCTTGTGCTTACACCTCTCCACAAAATGGTGTTGCTAAACGCAAGAACCGCCATTTGTTGGAAGTCACCCCATGCCCTGTTATTCCAGATGAATGTTCCCCGATATTATTAGAGTGATGCTGTTCTTACTACTTGTCATCTTATTAATCGTATGCCTTCCTCTGTGTTAAATGAGCAAAGTCCATATTCTGACATTTTTCCTAGTAAGCCCTTATTTTTCTTGACTTTTAAGGTTTTTGGTTGTGTCTGTTATGTTCACAATTTGGGTCTTGGATTTGACAAACTTGATCCTCGATCTACCAAATGTGTATTTCTTGGTTACTCCCGCACGCAGAAGGGATATCGTTGCTACAGTCTTTCTCTACATCGATACTTTACTAGTGCGGATGTCACATTTGAAGAATCTATTCCATACTTTCCAGCACCTTCTCAGCCTTTGGATCTGGACTTTGGCTCCTCTCCTGTACCACCATCTCTTTCCTTATCTTCAGATATTCCGCTGTCCACTGTGTTACCATCTACTTTACCTCTCCGTGTCTATTCTCGCCGTCCTCGCCCATTGATTGAGGTGCCCGTACCGTCTTCCTTGCCGCCTTCTGATCCTGGAACATCAGGTAATTTAGATTCTTTACCTATTTTTCTTTGCAAAGGTACTCGTTCGTGTGTTACTAATCATTCCATTTCTCATTTTGTTTTATATGATGCCTTGTCTCCTGTCTTCTCCTGTTTTATTTCTTAATTATATGCTATATCTATTCCTAAGCATTTACAGGATGTATTTTCTGATTCGGGTTGGAGGAAAGCTATGGAGGAGGAGATGAATGCTTTACATCATAATAGGACTTGGGATCTCGTTCCCTTACCCTCTGGTACACGAACTGTTGGCTGTCGTTGGGTGTATACTGTTAAATTTCATCCAGATGGTTCTGTGGAGAGTTTCAAAGCCCGGCTTGTTGCAAAGGGCTTTACTCAGACTTATGGTGTTGATTATGAGGAGACTTTTTCTATTGTTACCAAAATTTCCTCTGTTCGTATCTTGATTACTCTGGCTGCTAATCTTGATTGGCCCTTGTTTCAGTTAAATGTCAAGAATGCCTTCTTACATGGTGATTTGGTTGAAGAGGTCTACATGGAGCAGCCACCTGAGTTTACTGCTCAGGGGGAGTATAGTAAGAGTGTATGTCGGTTAAAAAAATCTTTGTATGGTTTAAAGCAGTCACCGAGGGCATGGTTTGGTAAGTTTTCAGATATAGTTTTAAAGTTTGGTCTTCTTCGATGTTAGACAGATCATTCTGTGTTTCATAGGTAGACAAATGCTGGGTATGTCCTATTAGTGGTCTATGTAGATGATATTATGATTACTAGAAATGATTCTGAGGGAATTGTCAAGTTAAAAATATTCTTACAGGATTGATTTCATACTATGATTTGGGAAAACTCAGGTATTTCTTGGGTATTGAGGTGACTTGATCTAAACAGGGTATTTGATTATCTCAGAGAAAATATGTACTTGACATGCTTGAGGAAACAGGTTTGCTGGGTGGTAGACTGATTGATGTTCCTATGGATTTGAATCAGAAATTATTGATGGATGATGGTGTATTGTTTGAGAATCCAGGTCGGTATCGCAGATTGGTTAGGAAGCTTAATTATCTCACTATTACTCGATCGGATATTTCCTACGCAGTCAGTATAGTAAGTCAGTTTATGGGATGTCCTAGAGTACCACATTGGGAGGCAGTTACTCGTATTCTACGATATCTCAAACGAGCTCCTGGACTTGGACTGTTATATCGAGCTAATGGACATCTTAGAGAAGAAGGTTTCTCAGATGTTGATTGGGCTGACTCTCCTTCTGATCGGAGATCAACCACTAGTTATTGTACTTTCTTAGGAGATAATGTTATCTCATGGAAAAGTAAGAAACAAGCCGTGGTAGCAAGATCCAGTGTTGAGGCTGAGTATAGGGTAATGACACAGACGACGAGTGAGTTGACTTGGCTACTCCACTTCCTCCAGAAAATTGGGTTTCCAGTTCAACTTCCTTTACAGTTGTTCTGTGACAACCATGCAGCTATCCATATCGTTGCCAATCCTGTGTTTCATGAGAGAACTAAGCATATTGAGGTTGACTGTCATTTTATTCGGGACAAGATCGTAGCTGGGGAGATTACAACTCCATTTGTGAAATCTGAAGATCAGCTTGCAGATATGCTTACCTAAGTATTGAGTCGTACATGTTTTACAGCTATTTGTTCCAAACTTGGATTATATGATATATATAGTCCAGCTTGAGAGGGAGTGTTAAGAATAATAGGGTAGTATGTGTAAATTATTATTAGTAAGAGGGTGTGTGTAATTATTATTACTGTAGGTTAATTATAAATATAAGTGATGTATGAGAACTAAGTTAAGTTTTAACCTCTCTCTTTCTCTCTAATATTGTGTTATGTTAATTCACTCAACTTAACAATGTGAAACAATTTCTATAGAATGAAATCAACAAGTTTCCCGCTGGGATTCATTCAAGAAGTGGTCCATCAGCTAAGGCAGAATCAATCTTGCAGTAGGAAGAAGTTAATCAGAAAATAATCGCATAAACACAAATGTAATTATGTCTTGGAGAGGTCTGTTTGGCGCCTGAAAACTGCTTAACAACATGTTGGACAAGTGGGGAAGTGTTGGGGTGCATCAAAATATTTTGGATAAAAGGGATCCCGAACTGCAAATACACAATGGAAAGAGAAAAAGAATGTAGAAAACTTTATATGTAAAACTGGTCTCTCTTGATGTCTACTGATTCCACACACTTTATATGCAGAATTCACCCTGTCGCCCTGGAGTATAAATCTTATGGGAAGCCACATCCATTTGTTTTCCAGCATGCTGAAACTGTGCTGATGCAACTTGCACAATCAAATCATCATTTCAAAACCCTATACATGATAGGAGATAATCCCACAATTGACATTGAAGGAGCACGGCAGGTTTGCCCCCGTGGAAGTGTGAATTTAATTGGTAACTGCTGCTTGAAGACATTAAGATAATTAAGGGTGATGATATGGATTTTGACTCTCTTTTTCAGGCTGGACATCCTTGGTTTTCAATATTGACTATGACGGGGGTTTTTAAAGGGAAGAAGAATCATGATGAGTTCCCGGCAGATGTGGTAATTTCTTAACCTGCTATTCTTTTGCAATCTGAAGTAAATTGCAATGACAAATGTGGTTTCAAAGTCTAGTCTTGTTTGAATCAATTATTAAAGGTGGTCAGTTTTGGATGTTTCCATGGTCACAACTGTTCGAAGCGCTTTGTGTAATACAGTAAAACCAATAGGAGGTTTAATGTGCAGAAGTGCTCTCTCTCTCTGCCTCTCTCTCTCTCTCTCTGTCGTGTGCATGCTTGGTCACACACAGTGCATGGGTCTTAGTTGCATGGACTAATTGGGCGTAAGGCGAATTCTACTCAACCTCACAACACACGCATCTTGAGTCAATGGACTTGCTGCTTAAATTTTTTATGTAAATGGGAAGTTTTGTACTTTTTGGGATTAATACCATTCAAATCTTTTAGTGAAGATAATTTCTACAAGTTGCATATGCAGGTTGTTGACACTGTAGAAGAGGCAGTGGATTACATCTTGACAAAGGAATACACCCCATAAGGTTTATACATCCGATGCCCATTTTGCCATCGATTGACTTAGGTATTTAAATCTTCCAACCATTACATGTTGAACGGATTTTTCATTTACTTGTTATTTGATATGTGGTGTATAGACCATAATTTTTTACCAACACAAATTAGGGTTTGATTAAAACTGGTCAAATTTTGATGTCACTATTCAAACCATCTGTTGTCCGAATTGAAATTCTAAAGAAGACAAGTTGGATGGTTGTTCCAACGGATGTTAAATAGCTGCAAGACTTCCAGAGGCCTAGACTGCGTTCAAATGGCACATCAAACAGATTCATTCATTCACTCTTGACTTGAAATGAAAGAATCAAGGAAAGAAAAACGGAAAGATTTCTATCTATGAAAGAGAAAAGATTCGTACCCCATTAGCCAATGAGAGGAAATAGAAGAACTAACAAAGGCAAGGGAGGAGAATTAAATGGAATAAAGAAATTCGTGTATACTACTGATAGTGATGGCACTGAACTGGGCGGGGCAGAAAACTAATTAAAGAAAGTCATTTGAAAGCACATCTTTAGCCGACCCAAGTAAAACAAGTCTAAAGAGCCCAAGCAATATAGGCGATGATTGAGAAGCTTTTCCACAATTGAGCGGCTAGATCAATTAGAGTCCTTGCTAGACTCTCCCTCATACTGGAATGCTATTGGCTTAAGAAAAGTAAGCAATTGACAGTCGGGCAAAAGAATATATTTACAATTTTAGTGAAGATGTTTTGCCCTACAGAATCGATACCTTTTCGATAGACCAAACAAGGGATTCGGCCCTGCCACTCGTACCTATTGACCGAAGAGTAACAAAAGAGATAAAAAATTTGTTTTTAAATGATAGAAATGCTTTCATTTTTAAAGAAACAATTTAGTTATTGAATTGAAATTTCAATGTTTCGCGGTGTTTTAGTGAGTGTTAAAATATTTTGAGATGTTTTGTAATATTTTAACATTTTCTCTAATGTTTCATAATATTTTTGAAATAGATTTTAAATTTTCAATACATTTTGATTCTGTTTTTGAAACATTTTCAAAATATTTTGGAAAAATTTTCATTTTAAAGGTGATTAAAACAATGTATTGAAACAAAATTTAATCCTCGCACAATACATGTAGATGTTGGGTCCAAAATAGATTGGGGATAATGAGTATGCAATTTTATTTTTTTATTTCAAATCTATAATATAAAACAGGGCAAACTTTAATAAATTTGTTTGACAGATTTAAATAGATTTATCTAATGACCATTAACATCTCTTTTAAAATTATTCATATTGCACTGTATAAGCACATACTAGAGCCAATACGCAAGTAAGGGTTGCCAACTAGGGAATCTATAAAGTGGTCATTAGAGTTAATAGGAGTAGGGGTTTTCCTATCTTCCTCTTCAACTTTTTCTTTCCCTTTGCCTTTTATGGCAACGGTAGGAGTGTTAGCGAGGTTCATCTTCTCAGTTTTGTTCATTCCGAATGTAGACATAACCTAAAGATGTCACTCCTCCATAACTGTTGTATAAAGTTGCTCATTATTTAAATAAAGTTTTTCCTTTTTAATTTGTTCTTTAAGAACTTTCATAGAATTGAAATTAGTTCCAGTATTTATACTGGTAGTGGGAACAACGGTGGTAGAAGTTGAAGGTTTATCAGTTGAAACTTTATCTTCTTCTTTATCTATGTCTTTAAGACAGTCCGCAATAATCTGACATTTAGAGTCAGTGTGATAATTATTCCAGTAACGAACATGATATTTCCTTAATTAATCTGGGATGTCCGTTATAATTAAAATCACAAGTCAATGTCCACTTCTAAATCTATGGAACAAAGAATTCGAAAGAGAAATTAATTATTGACTTTAATGCCATATCATTGTCCGTTAAGGACGGTAAAAGTCAAATAATTTTTTCATGGGTTCATAAAGGTATATCCTTTTAAGAATATTAAAAAATATAGGATTATTCTTCATATATGGAGATAAAGTCAAAGGTCTAGGAAGAATAGAGAGAGATTTATTTCCAGACAGAATTTTTTTATTGTCAACTTTATCTCACGAGGATGTTTTAACAACTGGTTGGCTTTATCAGTATCACCTTAGTGAGTGGAGGATAATAAAGAGTTATATATGCATTAAAATAATATACATCCTTATATGAATTAAAGTAATATGCACTTTTCTATGCATGGAAAGAAGTTTTATACTCATCAGAATAGTAAGCATTTTTATATGCAAAGACTTATGTTCTTACAGATATACCACCAAGTTTTGTTAACATGAGCTGACAAAACCCTTCTGGAATAATATTCTCCATCCATTGTTTATATTTTCAATCATAATATTAATCATTAATTTCAAGTATAAGATGAAATTTTAAAGACTCCCTTTGTGTTCTTTCAATTCTTAGCAAAAAAAATAGGGACATGATCAATTAATTGATCTTCTAAAGCATTGCAATAGAGACGCCAAAGTGAGACCTTGTAGTAATCCTTATGCCTGGTAGAGGCAAAGTTAAAAATATCTTCACCTGCATATTCACAAATACAATCAAGAAGTTCTGGAGATTAGGTAATACTGTTCAAAGAAAATGAATCTGAGCTAGGACTCATTTCTGAAATTTCTTGGATTTTTTCTACAAAATAAACATAACTTTCTAATAAGTTAGAAGTTGATGAGAAATTTAATTGATTTTCTTTATAAATAAGATTTTTGTTTATTTGATTTATCAACTTTATTTGAGGTAGAGTTATAAAATCAAATAATATCTGTTGATCATTTATGGTAGTCAAAATTCCTTTAGAATCAATTCTTTCTACAAGTTTGATTAAAGATAAGAATGGTGTTCCCAAAATCACCAATTGATTTTAATTATCAATAAGCATAAAAGTGATAGAAATATAAATACCTTGGGCACATACAATTTTTTTTTTAATAGTGTTTGTTTCAATTAAAGTTGTTTGACCTTTAAGGTTAAGAAATTTAACTTTAAGACATAAAATATTCATGACTTTATATTATACTCTATAAGCAAAATCAAAATTATATCGGTGTCATCTTTATAATTGTAAACATAAGTTTTAATATTGCATGTTAAAACATCTAAAATATTCTTATCTATTAAAGATATAGAAAAATTAGGAAAGTAGTTAAAATAAACAGGACCAACAATTAAGCTGGATTGCAAAATTCCCATTAAAGATTGTTCAAAATTAAGACATTTAGCATATTTTAGTGCTAACTTGGAGAATTTTGTAATCAATTTGCTTATAATCTTGACATTCCAAAAGATAAGGTCTTTAGTAAAAGAAAACCTTATACTAAGCCTTATAAAAAAGGTATAAAACTTTATAAAAAGAGTTATGGTAAGGAACAAGAAAAGGTTAATAAACCCATTAAAAAATAACTTATCAGAAATGATATGTTAAAATCATATTAATCAACTTCTTAAAGAAAGACCTTCATTTTCACATAAAAGTAAAGGATCTTCATCCTCACATAAAAGTGATGATAAAGATAATGACGGTTATACTATCGTTACCCACCGCATCTTGACTGTATCTCAGACCATCACTGCCTACTCCTTCTTTCTTTCCTTTCTTACACCTTCTCTGAACCTTTCTCTCTTGTAAAAACCCCATCTTCCACCTTCTACCACTACTACTGTAAGTGTGTCTTGTACTTAAGTTTGCATTAAATAAAAGCTTTTGCTTATATTTTGTGTTGATAGATCGATTCTCCCCCTTGTTGTAAGTGTGTCTTGTACATAATTTTGCATTAAATAAAAGCTTTCGCTTATATTTTGCGCTTGTGGATCGATCTTCCCCCTTGTTGGTATCAGAGCCATTGTTATGGTAGCTTAAATATATTCTGTTGATTTATATGCAGAACTATTACTAATTCTTGTTGCTTATGTAATTGTGATTTAATTATGTTAGACTACTGCCACTATGAAATTGTTGGTTTAATTTTGTTATAATGACTCTTTGGGCTTCCCATAGTTTTGCATCAAGGTCGCGTTTTGGGGATGTTGTTAGGCCGTTTTCTGCGAGATAAGAGTGTTAGGCCGTGTGTGTAGTCCCTTGAGAGCGTGGACAAAGTTGATTGCAAAAGTAGGATGATGAGGATGCATTATGACAGAATTATGGCAACAATAGTCATTGTAACAGTACTATAGCAGAATTAGAAGACAAATTATAGTAGCAACTAGAAGAAGGTAATAGTGAAACATATAAGTCAACAGAACAATCTCTAAGATATCACTATGACGTTAAACCTATTTAAATTTAAATTTAATCATAAAGATGATTATGTTAAAAATATGGAAGAAATATAATTCTCTGATATTGAAAATAAATTACAAAATTGGGATATACCCCAGTATTCCATTAAGAAAATCTATAATATTGACACTTTTGATTTTAAATCGAGTTTAACAATCAAAACGATTGAAAGAGTTATTCCTTTTGATCAGAATGAAGATATTTTGTAATTGTTAACTGAAAGAGAAGTCTTAAAGGCTCAAGATAATAATTATAAATTTCTGCATATTGGATTAGTTCAAGTTGCTTTAAAACCTTTAACTCTTCACGGATTAAATGCTTCTTTTATGTTAGCACTAAGAGATGCTAGATCTCTTAATTTTGATCAATCTTTAATGGGAGTTATGCAATCCAACTTAAGTACTGGTCCTCTTTATTTTAACTGTTTTCCTAATCTTTCTATATCTTTAACAGATAAGAATATTTTAGATATTTTAACATGTAATATTAAAACTTACGGTTACAATTATAAAAATGACACCAATATAATTATTTCTGCTTATAAAGTATATTATAAAGGCATGAATACTTTATGTTCTGAAGCTAAACTTCTTAACCTTAAAGGTCAAACAACTTTAATTGAAACAAACACTATTAAAAATAAAATTGAAGTCCCTAAAACCATTAAATGGTCAGAAATCCAATTTTTCAGAAACCTGACAATTGGAGTTTGTGGTCCCTAAAAAAACAAAGATAAATGAAGAAATAACTCAAATCGCCCAATTATCCTAGGGTGATATTACAATAAAATTTGCTAGAACTAATTCTAGAAATTATTTAAAATCTTTTGATAAATCAGAAATTTCATTAAGTTATTATACCCCTTTTAAAAGATCTAC